TAGGGGGCCTATATTAGGGCTATTATATATAGTTAGCGCCTTATATACCTACTATAAGGAGAGGGCTTTCTAGGTAGTATTAGTTACCTTCTAAAGGGCTTTAGCGTGTTAGGCTACTAAAGGGTATAGTAGGGAGCCTTCTAAGAGGTAGGGGTAGGTACTAAAGACTAGTAAGGTAGGTATTAGGCTATTAAGGCTAGTAAAGTTATTTATAGCCTTAATAGTAAGTTATAAGCACTTATTAGTACCTAGGGTACCCTATAGCTCTTTATAGATAATATTATAAGTATACTAAAAAGGGGTATAGTAGTATTCTAGCTTATTAATTATATTATAAGCTTCTATAGGTATTAAGTATACTTAAATATCTAGTTTCTTTATATATTTATAGAATTTAGTTAATAAAAAGTTACTTTTAGTATTATAAATAATCTATTTAGGGGGTCTAAGGTATATATTAATCTAGTAGTACTAGAGTATATTCTAAAGGCTTTTAATACTCTTTAGGGGGCTTTCTATACTTCTATAAAGGAATTAAGCTACCTAGAAGGAGGTAGTAGTATCTAGTATATATAGGATAGGTTATTAATTATTAAGATATATTATATTAGCTAGTATTTTATAGTTAAATTTATACTTATCCTTTAAGGTAAATTAGAACTATTTAGGGGACTTAGTATATAGCTAGTATTACTTATAGGTAGTTATTAGGTAGTCTAGTACTTCTTTACTAAATTCCTCTTTTATATATTCTAGTATCTAGTTAAGGTAGGCTACTAAAGGGTGCTTAAAGTAGTAGTATAAGCACTAGAGCTCTCCTTCTATTAGGTAGAAAGTAATAGCTTTAGTAGTATATAGTATCTACTAGGGGTATCCCTAGTATCTTATAATAGGGACCTTTAGCTATTCTTAGTAGAGTATATTATTAATATTATTTAGCTAAATCCCTAATATATCTATATCCTTAATAGAAAGTAGGAATAGTATAGTAGTTAGTAGTACCTAGAATATAATTACTCTAAGTACTATAGGTACTATAATCTTACTAATAGAGGTTATAAAGCTAGTACTAAAGTATACTATTATAATAAAGGCTAATTCTATAACTTAAAGGCCTAGAATTAGTTTTATTAGTACTTTTACTTATACTATACTAGTATTAGAAGTACTAATAGTACCTATATTAAGAAGGATCCTTTTAAAAATATCCTCTATATATTATTCTTTATAGCTAAAGATACTAGAGATACTTTAGAATAGATCTTTAGTATAGATAGTATATTTAATAGAAGTATTAGTAAGGAAATATATAATCTTTTTAAGGGATTAGTCCTTTACTATAATAAAAGCTTTAGTAGCTCTTAAGAAGAATACTTATATATCCTCTTATTTATTTACTAAAGAGTTATCTTTATTAAAGAATAAAGTAATAATATAGGTATTAACCTTATTCTAAATTAATAGTATCTTTTCTAAAGTTCCTTTAAAGGCTACTAGGAAAGCCTAGTACTTCTTATTATTTAAGGGCTTTTAGTAGATCTTATAAGTATTCTAGGTATTATAAGCACCTTTCTATTCCTTCTTAGTATAGTTTATTAACTAATAGCCTTCTTTCTAATATATAAAATAGCGCTTTAAGGTATTATTTAAGCTACTAGGTTGTTTCTTTAGAAGGATTTAGGTACTATAGAACTACTTATTAATATAGAAGTTCTAGTACTTTAGATAGGTTTACTTATATATATAGATTAATTATTAGAGTATTAAAATTAAGTCTTTATAGTATTCTAAGGGTTATATAAGGGCTATAGTATAGGCTTTATTACTATATATAGTGCTTTTTAGTATATTCTAAGTCTTAGTAAATATAGTTATACCTTCTAGTATAGAAAATAGTTCTTAATATAGAACCTAGATCTTATTAACTAGTAACTTAAGGTAGTTAATAGTAGACTTTATAGGGTACTTCTTTATTAGCTTATTTAGTAAAAGGTGCCTCTATTTATCTATATAAAGGTCCTAGGTTAATAAGGGCTTAAATTAGTTATAGACTACCTTAGTTATCTTACTATAGGTTATTTAGTAGTTTATAATTACTTAGATATAGTACTTTAAGGCTCTTTTAGTAAGTATTAGTAGGAATATATATAGTAAGGCCTCTTCTAGAAGCTAGGCTTAATTATAGTAGTTAATAAAGTTATATATCTAGGTATAGAAGAAGTTATACCTCTTTTTACTATACTTATTAGCCTCTTAGTACCCTTTAGTAATATTAAAAAAGCTCGCTATGGTGTCCGCTGCTGCCTAGCAGCCTAATTTCTCGCGGGATCACCCAAGTCACACCGGCGGCAACAGTTGACATATAAGACGGCTAGGACACCAACGTCAGAGTGTCCTATCATGTCCTCTATCCCTCTCCTTTCTCTTTTCACGATGGACCCTATAGATCCCACGCAAATGTTTAACAACATCTTATCCGCCTAGCCGGACTAGCTATCCTAGGCGATGACTCCTCATATAATGCCATTATGTAACTAGTCGTAGGACTATTAGCCGCTACCGGCTAGGCAACTTAAGGATATCTTTAAAGAAGCACTAAGCCTAGTAATCTTAGGCACCTTTAATAATAACGATAATATACTATTAACGCCTATAGAGTCTATAGGATATTAGTTTCGGCTAGTAGTAAAGTTAGTATTCCTTATATACCCTAAGTACTTCCTACCTATATAGGACTTCCTTAATAGTATTAAATCCTTTAGCTTTAAGCACTTTTATATAGTATAAGAGGAGTATAAGGATAGGACGCTATACTTCTACGTAATTAGTAAGTAGCTATAGAAGCGTAATATTAAAAATACTAAGTTCTTTAATATTAGTTAATATTACCTTAATATTTAAAAAATAAAGAGTTATCTTACTATATAATAGTACCTTAATAAATATAGTATAAAGTATATTAGTAGTAATATATAAGAGCCTAAGGCCCTTTAGTAGGAGGCTAAAACTATAATATAGAAGGATATAGTAGCTCTTAAGGATAAGTCTAGCTTCTTCTTATATCTTAGTAGTAAGGTATTATATAATCTAATTCTCTACTATAAGAATATCTAGGCCTATATAGATAATGTGTTCTAGCCGCCTATACTAGTCTATATACTACCTATTCTAATAGGTAGAGCCTAGGTCTTACCCTAGGAGATTAAGAGCTAGCTATTAGAAAACCTCTATATATCCCTATACCTAGCCTATCTTAAGTCCCTTTATATCTTTAGTAAGATATAGCTTTATAAAACTATATAGGCCTATTAGCTTAGTGCCTATTATTATATAAGTAGCTACTAGAATATATTACTACTTAATAGTAATAAGGACTATATTATTATTAATAATATCCCTTTTTTAAATAAGGATATATAGAAGTATTATAAGTAAATACTTAGGTACTAGAATAACTTCTTTATAACTAATAAGTATATAAAGAAGACTAACTTTACTACTTAAGGTAAGCCCTATATATATTTATTTAATAAGGACCCTTATAGCTATATAGGTATTAACTATAAGTAGATAGATAGTAACTATATATTTATAGACCTATAGGTATTACTATATATAGAGGGGGTATAGAAGGATAATATAGATTAGCTAGAGCTAGATTAGTTAGAGCTAGATAAGATAGATAATAATATTAGCTTCTAACTACTCTCTCTAAAATATAGTTATAGTAATATTCTAAACCTTAAGTATAGGTAAAATATAGTACTATATCTCCCTTTTCTTAATATTCTCCTTATTCTTACCCTCTTCTAGGATATTCCTAAGTATAATTATTATAAACGCCTTTAAGGTAGCTATAGATAGGCGCTTAAGCTTAAAGCTAATACTCTATATATAATATTAGAAATAGGATATCCTCTTATTAGGCACTAACTTTTATATAATAGATATAGGGGTAGGTAGCTCTTGCCTTTATCCTTACTTTTACTCTATACCTATCTTAACACCTTATATAGTATCCTTTAGTATATTTACTAGTATAGGATAAGGGAAAAGGTACTATTTAATAAAGAATAATAGTATATAGAAGATTATAAGGAAGATATAATTAAAGTTAACTTTCTTACCTATATAATAAAGGCCTCCTACTAGAGGACTATAGAAGGTAGCCTTCTTCCTAAGTAATATAAAGGCTAAGACCTTCTTAAAGTAGAGTTATATTATACTATAGAATATATATATCTAGTTAAGTATAATATAGCCCTTTATAGCCTTCTAGTAAAAAATAGGATAACTATCCTCTTTATTAAAAATATAGAACCCCCTCCTTAAAGCCTTAGCTATAGTTAATAGGTTATTAACCGCCTTAAAGAAAGGAGACTTTATTATACTAGTATAAATACTACTAAAGATAGAAAATAGATTCTTCTTTAGCCTTTTTAGCTTTATATAAAGAATATATACTATATAGCTTTAAGATATATAGACTTTAAATTCTAGTTTTACTATATATAAATATATAGAAGTCTCCTTATAAGCTACTATATCCTTATTATCTAAGTATTAATAAAGCTTTATTATAGGTAAGATTATGCCTATATCTATATACCTAGTATATATATTAAAGGATAGCTTAACCTAATATATTAAGTATTTCTTTATTTATTAAAGCTATATAATAGACTAGGTAAAGTAGTTAAACGCACTACTATAAGAAAAGTAATAATAGGGGCCACTATAGTATCTATAAGGCATAGCTAGTAGTAATAGTAGTAATAGCTACTAGTAAAGCGGATAGTAGGTATATATAAGGCGTATCTAGATTAAGGGTATTAAGAGTAGCGGGAGTAAGGGTAGTAGTAGTAGGAACTACTAGAATAATGTTAATACGGTTAACGGTAATATATTGTGTAGAAAGTGTCCTAATAACTATAGGAGAAAAGGGGCACTACTACCCCCTTTTAAAAGAGAAATCAGGCTGCTAGGTAGCAGTGGACACTATGGCGAGCTTTTTTAATATTGCAGATAGGGTCCCACACCCTGGCCAAAACAAAAAGCACTGCCTCCGCCATGTCTATAATAACGCGCCCGTTACCCACAGGGGCCCCGCCACACTCAGGCCGTCCCGCCATACAGCAAGGGACCCCACACACACGGCTCGTACGCCTCACCATAACACCCCTGCTCCCGGACACCAGGACACCAGAAAACCATGGCTATAATATTATTAATCTATTTTAGTATATTTAGGTTTACTATAAGTAGCCTAAGGGGTTTATCTTTAGGCTATTTATACCCTTTATTACTAGAGTAGTATAATAGTAATAAGGGTAATAGTAATAGTCCTAGGGGTAGTAATAGTACTCCTTATTAATATAATAGCTATAGTAGTCCTTATAGTAGCTATAGTAGGGGTATAGGTAGTCCTAGTAAGGGTAGTAATAGCGCCTTATATTTAGGGGGTTATTAGGTAGCCTACCTCTTATAGTGCTAGTAAGTAGAGTTCCCTTAGTATAGTTATAGTATAAAGGGCTAAGTATACTTATTATAGTTAGAGTTCTATAAGGTATTAGGTAGTATAGGGGTATTAAGTGCCTAGAAGGTATTAATTACTATAAGTAAGTTAGGCGCTTAGGGGGTACTAAGTATTAGAAGAAGTCTAGTTATATAAGGGTCCTAGTAAATTCTTATAGGTTTAGGTAAGGTGTTTTTTATACTATATAGGTCTTTCTTTAGTATTTCTTAAGGTAGTTCTAGTAGTAGTATATACTAGGGTACTAATACCTAGGCTATTTAGAGTAAGTTATTATTATCTAGATAGAAAAGGCTATAGGTATTCTTTCCTTTATTATTAACTAGCTTTAAGGGTTTATTAGCTAGGAGGGAACTAAATAGTAGCTTTCTTATAGATCCTAATTTAATAGTAAATAGTTTTATTAAAAGCTAGTTAAGCTATATTAAAAGAGGTCCTTCTTTTAAAGAAGGAAAAAGGTAATTACTCTTATAGTTAATATATTTACTAAAGATAGTCTTCTAGATAGTTTTAATAATTTATTATCCCTTACTAGTATATAAAGTAACTCTAGTATTATTAAGATAGTTTTTAAACTTATAAAAGACTTCTTTATTAACTATTTTCTAGTTAGCTTTAGTCTAGTAGGTAAAATCCTTATAAAGGTACTCCTAAAGGTAGCTACTAAACTATCTATAGTAAGTATTATATATAAGGGTATAGAAAATAATTACTATAGTAGTCTATTAATTAAGGTTAGTAGTTTCTTTAATACTCTAGGTAAGAGAGTATAGCTAGAATAACTTCTAGTTAGCTAGGAGAAGATAGGTAAGATAAGTAAGGCTTTTAGGTACCTTATTAGGGATTATAGCTAATAAGTAGCTTAAGATCTTAAAGGTAATTATATAAAACTATACTAAAGACTTAATTAGAGGTTTTTTATTAGTTAAGTTACTAAGTATACTAGATAGTATACTAGGCTTTTTAGTAAGTATACTAGATATTATAATTAATAAAATAAATAGTTCTAGAAGGTTATAAGGCTATAAAGGTATAAAAGGGATAGGTATTTTATTAGAAATCTATAATTAAAGTAAAGGTAATTACTAATTAGTATTAAGATTACTATCCTAAGTAGGTAATAGTTATAAGATTATAGGTATAGAGTGCCTATAGAGGTGTTTTATAGGAATAGTTATATAATAATAATTCTTAATTAACTAATAAAATAAACTATAGAAGGAAGAGGTTATAATTAAATATATAAATAGGTAGTACCTTAGGTATTACTAGGAAATTATAAGAATAAAGGAATAATTAGTAGTTATATATATTAGTAGTTAATAGCTTATAGGTAGTTATTTTACTTACTTATAGGAGGTAATAGCGCTTTTATAGTAGTTTAGCTTTATTAGCTTAGTTATCTACTATAGCAGCCCTTATAGCACCCTATATTAGGGCTATAGGTACTAAGACTTCTTTATATACTATTATATAATATAACTACTATATATATATACTATATAGTATAACTAGCTACTATATATAACTATGTATAGTATAAATCTATTTACTATATGCCTTTATATACGGTATATCTTACTAAATATCCGCTATACTTAGCTAACTATATCCGCTGCAGCGCTTGCTAGTATAATAGCTTTAGTTAAGATAAAGTTATTTCTTTAACCTTCTAGTAGTAATCTACTAAGATTATTAAGTCTTAATATATTAATTATCTTTAGCTTTTATTTAACCTAGCTACTTTTAGATTTAAGTTTTAAGATATTTAGTACCTCCTTTAATATTAAAAATATAGTATTAAAGATAAAAGTAAGTAATAAGGTTATAAGAAGATCTTAGCTTATATATAAAAGTTAAGTTACTAATAGTATTACTTACTAAGGGAATAGAACTTTAAGATAATAAAGAGGATAATAGGCTAAGTATATAGTCTTTCTTTTTAAACTAAGTACCTTATATTTATTTAAAGGTAAAAAGTATTTAAATAAGTAATAAGAAATTCTTCTTACTAAGTAAGTAGTTACTATATACTTTTTATAGTAGTTAAGACTATAGATTATAATAAATAATTTAATAAGTATATTTAAAACTATAAATTATAGTAAGTAATCTAATAAGTATATTTATTTAAAGGCTATAACTATATTAAGTAAATTTATATTATAATATATATAAAATAAGTATATAAAGTCTATATATAAATTACTAGATAAAGTATAGTAGTAGAATTTCTTTTTCTTTATATAGAATTTTTATAGTAAATAGACTTATTAAATATACTCTAAATTAACTAGAGTTTAAGGTCTTTCCTTTTCCTATATATAAGGAGTTATAAATTTCTTAAGTTTTATAGTAAATATTAGTTTATATAAATAGTAAGTAAATTTAATAAGAAATTAATACTTTCTTTTATTTTATTAGTAGCTTTTATAATATAAATACTACTAGGCTTATAACCTATTAAGACTAATAGGGTATATATAGGGTAAGAGGTAAAGTTATTATATTATATAACTTCTATCTAGTTATATAGTATAGGTAAGTGCTAGATATACTAGGTAATAGGAGATTGTTCTTCTAGCTTCTAAGCCGCTTGTTATTATTTTTAGTATTATAGGGATATATAAAGTCTTTAGCCTTATCCTTTCTATACTTTTTATTACTATAAGGTATACTATATATAGGAGTTAATTTTAAAGGTTATAGCTTCTTACTTATATAAAGGAAGGTTTTATATTCTAGTAAGGTTATTTTTAGTCTTTTACCTTAAGTAATATAAACCTTATTCTTATATAGCTATAATAAAGCTTATTCTAAGTATAGCTTTATTTTAATAGCTTTAAGGAAATTATTAATTATAAAATAACTATTAATTAATAGTATATTAAATATATTTATATAATTATATATTACTTCCTAATTCTTAAGCTATTTCTTAATACTAATATTCCTTTAATATATATCTTATAGTATACTCTTATAAGTATAATCTACCTTAACCTTTATATATACTATATTTAGAGTAATAATTAACTTAAGCCTTTTAACTAATTAGTAAATAGTATACCCTTTTAAGTATTCTTTTTTAAGTTTATTATATACTCTAATTATTAAATAGAAATTAATAAATAATATAATAAGTTTATAGACCTTATTTAGCTTAGTTTTACTCTCTTTATATACTTATAAAGTAATTTTATATTTTTACTATTTTTAATTAAATAAGACTTTAAGTATATTAAATATCTTAAAATTTACTTTAATAGGTTTCTTAAGCTTTATAATTTTATAAAGTTCTACCTTATATATCTTAATCTTTATAAGTATATTAAAAGGGTTTAATATATTTTTAATATTATCCTTCTTTATAAGATTAATAATTATCTATATACTTATTATAAAGGATTAAAAAGCTTAAATCTAGTTAAACTAACTTTCTAAGTTATATTATTTAAGTCTAGATAAGACTATAGCTTTAGTATAAAATAATATAATAAAATAATAAAATAATAAAATATTATATAATAATAATAATAATAATAATAATAATAATAATAATAATA